GGGTTGTGTAGGGTTTAGGGTTTGGGGTTACCCAACACACCTTTTGGGGGGCGATAATCAGGACTATGGCATTTTGCGGTGTACATTAGGCTCCCCCTGGTATGGGAAACTGCCTTATGATGGGAGAAAGAGGTGTCCTGTCATGTTGGTTGCAAGGATCAGAAATCCTTGAATGCGAGAGGTGCGTGTCCGGGCCAGTTTTGTGGAGCTGATACTAAACATTCTGCCTGACCCCAGGTACACCAAACCCTTGGGAGTTATGGTATTATGGTGCACTATGGTCATGCAGGATTCTTAGTACCAACAGCCCTAAATCCTAAACCCTAAGTACCAAGCTGGCCTGGCGGTTCCAAAGGTTGGTCGTCCAGTCTCGGCATCCGATGGCATCGCCCCATCTTGACTACAAGCCTCTGAGCAACAGCGACGACATTCAGGCTGGGAGACGGTTCCAAAGGGTGGAAGTGCCAGTAGTCCCTTGAGAAGGCATGATACTGGCTTCTGTAGTGCTAGCCTGGCAGTTTCTCCGTTGGAAGTGATGTTGCTATTTGGGTCCGGAGAGGAGAGGAACGTGCTTGCCATACCTGCCTTGGTGCTTAAGGGACAGTTGGGGAGGGGATCCTGATAACAATCCTCATCCTATCCTCTATAATAGCTTAAGCACCAGCGAGGTGCTGGCACTAGGTGGCGCTTTGGGATAGTTCATAGTTTCCCCTACTGTTGTATAATAGGTGCATATTCAGAAATTACGTTGTTTTCGACATAACTTTGGCGGACTTTAAAGTTCCACCAAGCGGCAGCTAGGAGCCTTCTACACCGTCCGATGCAGCGAACGTTCTCAAGCCTAAGGGGGCCATGATTCTTTTGGGTTAGGGCTTAGGGATCAGGTTTTGGGCTTTAGACCCTAAGCCCTGAACCCTACACCCCAAACCCTGAACCCTAAACCCCAAACCCTAATACCTTAACCCTAGGGCTTGGGATGGTATTCGGATTCATGGAGTGTACCTTGGGTACTGCCCCCACTTATGAACAGTTGGATAATATCTGCAGTGTACTTATATAGGATTTAAGGTTGGGGTTTAGGGTTTCTAGCCCGAAATATGACCTCTAGTATAGACTGTTATCATGGGTGGAGGGGGAGGACCCAAAGTGTCCTTGGCCCGGAGGAAGATGCAACCCCTCAAGCAGGCTGTATGAAAGAAGGCGACCGTCCTCTTGAAAGAGTGCCTGATGGCTTTGCATGTTGGTAGTTTTTCAGACATTACATTTACTACATGATCCGTATAAACCCCTGAATTTTGCAGGCCAAAGAATACGAGATTCTATTGCACTTCCGTGTTCTTTTCATTTGATATTCCAGCATTGGGAAATTAGGGGCCCCCAAAACCTAAATCCTACACTGAACCTGAAACCATAACTCCTGTAGCAAAATACATTCCTATATAGTCACTGTGTGACCCCATTCTAGTTGGGCCGGTCTGTGGAGGACCCTCAACCCGAAATCCCTTGTACAACTCCATATACCACCCATCGTCGCTGTTTTTGAAGCAACCGCTTTTCGTCAGCTCATCGCGAACACCATCCGCCTGCTTTACCAGGCTGGAGGGTGGAATAGGGATATGGGTTGAGGGCTTTTGGGTTTAGGGTTTGGGGGTTAGAAGACTGGATCAATGGAAAACAACATGAACAATGAAATGGAGCCAGGGTTAAACAGGGGGTTATAGGGATTGTAGTGTAGGGCAGGGGCCTGGTTCATTGGAATGAGGTTTGGGGTTGTGGGGTGTATCATGCTTATGAAATGCAAGAACTCTGAGGGAATGATGTTGGTGAGTATGGTGGTGCCTGCAGTACTCAGAGGCTCCATCGCAGTTATTGATGAAGCTAGCAAGGAACCACATTGAAGCATGATTGCAAAGACTGGGTTGCTGTTAAGGAATTTAAATTAAGTTACCATAATGGGCATATATAGTAAATAATAGGGTTTCCCCAATATAGTAACTTAATTTAAGTTCCTTAACAGCAACCCAGAAGAGTTCAGGGTTTAGGGTCGGTCATTTGCAGCGAAGCCTTGGGTCTAGGGACGGTGGCCACTAAAAAACCTGTTTGGCCTCAAGTACCTTTCACATGGCGTTTTGGCATCTAAGGTCATGCAAAGGTTTTAGCGTTAACTGTATTCAGGGGTTAGGTTTAGGGCCTGGCTGGAAAAATAGGGAATGGAACAATAACAGTAGTACTTAGTCATCATGACAGGAATCACAGTAACGATAGTCATAATTTGAGAGTTTCCTTAATCCCTCAACATTTGATCCCGCTGACTTCCTGTCAAATCCTCATAGATTTTCCAAGTTCAGGGTTTAGGGCTTTATGGTTGTGCACCGAGGGAAATACATCAGTTCCAACATACCCAGAAATGCGGAAGCAGTAGATCATAAGCCCCCAAACCTACAACCCAACAGCTTAGACCCTCAGCCTCCAAAGGCAAAACCCTAAATCCTCAGCCAGTTTCGCGGTTCAGGGTGTCTTTGCCTCAGAGCAACTGGCGCCCTTTGAGCTGGGCATCAGCCCGAGCGTGGAGGCACAGCGTTTGTTGCAATCGCGTTCGGAAGTTTGTTGTGGAGGACTAAGGGTTTGCACTTAAGGGCAAAGGGTTTCAGGTTTAATCGCTGAGCGTTTACGTCTTGAGGTATGCTATGTCGATACTGCTGATGTGGGCAGTGTTAGACAGTAAAGTGGCCCAGGATCAACAGCAGCTCCATCAACTGCCTAACATGTTGCCACGCGCACTGTGCAATTAGGAGTATATTTCTAACCAAGAGCATACGACCTCTTCCTTGCTGTACTACGATGGTGAAGGCTGACAAGCAGGGGACTAGTGAGAGGGAATCTTTTGCAATAGCGTCGAAGCAAGGAGGTTGCGGGTATTGCTCACAAACCCGGATAGAATCCCTGCAAAGGAGCCCCCATACACTTCGTAATCTTAACAAACCTTGAGGCCTCCTCGTTTAAGAAACTTTCATTTGATAGCTCAAGTTCTGTGACGGGTGTTCCGGCTTGGGCTGGGTGTGGCAGTACACCCGACTCTCGCATGTACCGCAGCTTTGTACCCCCTAAACCCTAAACCTTAAACCCTACATTGTTTAGTGTTCCCGCGTAGGTTATTTGTATGCCTGTGCTTGTGTGGTAGGGTTTAGGGTTCATGCTTTAGGGGTTGTGTGGCCCTGAATTGCACAGGCCTGCTCCTACTGAATTTTAGCCCTGTTTCTTGTTGTGAGGAGCTGGGGCCTTACTGGGGGAAGTAACGGATGCCAAGTAAGGAACCCATGTCCATGATTAGCTATGCGGGAAATTTTGACTGTAGCTCACATGATCTTCAGTGTCCCGTATCAGGGGTCATTGCTTGCTTCATATCGCAATATTGGCCCCATTCCGCGGCTTCTCCAAAAGAGCCCTGAGCCTCGTGTTTAGCCGACGCCGTACAATGCTACAACTCTTACACGCTAAGCTTGAAGCCGTAACCCTTAAACCTCGCAATCTTGCCCAAGGGCGCCAAACCCCTGGCAAAGGTGGTTGCAGACTTCCAAAAGTTGGCGCCAACCTGACTTGTTGATCATCACCAGATATCCCAGTTAAGGTTTTTCAAATTTCAGGGTTCAGGGATGTGCTCTTCTTGCTTTTTGCGCGGCCCCCGATTCCTTTCGCATTCCCCCCAAGGCCAAACAAGGGCGGAACCCCTTGAAAAAGGGACCTTCGCACTTTACGGAGCCCTTTCTTGGGTCTCTAGGCTTGCTTGTGGGAGGTGATTACTTGGTTGTGAGGCTAGGGTTTAGGGTTTAGGGTTTACGGTCTGCATCTTTAGGGCCTTGTTCCTGGGCATGGACTCTAGGGACTCCCCGGATAGATTTTGGGTACACAGCGGATGAGGCGGGTCCCCAGAAAGGCTTTATGTTAAAGGGGATTAGTAGGGAATAAGGGAATATAGTAGTTAGGGATCATATAGGGATTATATACCCTCATGCCCTACTAACCACCAGTAAGCCATGGCGCATTTTTGAGAAACTCCCTTGTAGCGAATTGCTCTGTCTGTGGTTGCAATACCCGCCGCTTGCTCCTGTGCGTGACAGGCAGTGGATACGGGCCAACATCTACTACTACTCCCATCCGACCGGGACAGACAAGCTTTGAAATCAGCACGCCGCTCACTTCCTGGATGTTGGTAGGTAGGTGTACATGGGATCGTACATTGCAATTGCCTAAGGTGACAGCTACAGGTAGTCTACACAGATCCCACTTATGGCTGCTGCGAGCCTCAAAGTTATTAAGTCAGGGCTTCTCATTGGCCTCACCAAATGCAAACTTAGGGTCCTTACTACTGTGCCATGGCACCGAAACATGTTGATGCCTGACACTGTCCCTGCGGCCGGCATATCAGCGTGACAGCTGCAGGCTGCAAATAAAACAAACGTGTCAAGCACATGCAGGCTTCAGGACAATTGCAAGATTTGAGCTATCATTATTGTTGTTATTACTCTTATCATTGACGATCATTATTGTGGTTATTTGTTATGATCAGTACTAGTTAGAGCGTAATGGAGTATTCCAACTGGGGCAACATATGTCACCCATAGGACCAAAGCTTACATATCTGGACAGCTAATAAGCTAATAGCCGCGTGACTCGCAAGTGATGCTTAGTTTGCATACCAACTGACAGGATCCGTCTAGAAAGTAAGTCCGTGCTTTGCTGGCTTAGGGTTTAGGGTTTCATGCATGACCCAGCACCTGTCTTAAGCCATATCTAATTTGGCTTGATCATCCGAGCAATCACTGCCGTCATGTCGCCCGATCCCAAGCCAGGGGCCCGGCTGATGCGAAGAACAGTCTTGTACTGTAGCAGTTCTCATACTGCCTTCCCCGAAGAAGGGCATGATCATCATACGGATACGTGTGAGACGAAGGTCCCTTCACAGTCCCCAAACAGTAGGACCTTGGTACCCCAACCAAGTCATCCAGTTTCCTAGCATAATTTCGGGACATGCCCAGATCATACAAGTGCCTATGCAATCCTGCCTAACCCAAGGACATTGTTGCATGAACTCAAGTTATAACTCCTAACTGAGAATGATGCGCCATTGTATAGCGCTTCCACCCATTTTCTGTCATGACGCATAGGATTCACAGAACATGTATAGCTGTAACCTGATTAAGCTTACTATGGATGCAACTCAAAGCTGCCAGAGGCTTCCGATGAATGTGGGACTTTCCATAAAACGGGGTCTCCCCGGTAGAGACTGGCAAAAGCAATACTGATGGTAGTGACCCTGCAGGGGGTCCCTTGTTTCAAAAACTCCCATGTATATGGGTTATTCTGAAAATTTATGAAAATTATGCGGCGCTTTTGGCTCTGTCATATTTAGCGGTATTAAAATGGGACCCTGCTTTTGGAAAACTCCCATGTGTATGTAAGCTCTCCAAGGTCAGAAACGTCGGCCTCTGCGCAGCAAGCAGCAAAGCTTGAGCCTCCAGGTGCCAGCAATTGTTATTGATACGCAAAAAATCGAGGTTTAGGGTCTAGGGTTTATTGGTTTACCAGAATACCACTCAATAATCATATACTTCCCCAAAACCTGCACTAGAATTACTATCACCCAACTCCCAAGTAAAATTGGTTCGCCCTTTAGGGTTTAGGGTTTTTAGGGTTTATAGGGTCTAGAGTTGAGGGTTTCGGGGTTGGGGGTTGCGGTTCTGGGTTTACAGTTTAGCATTCATGCTTAGTGGCGTGAGGTTAAGACTTGCCTAGAGTTTCGGATTTTGTGTCCTATAGCTACCAGGCAATGCGCACTGACTAAGCCGGGTAAACAGTCCCCTGCATGCCTTGAAACCCTAAGGCCATTAGGTCCGCATGCTCTTTACATTCCTAAGGTAGCCCTGAACCCTGCTCCGTGGCAGGTTCCCAAATCTTTGCCCTAATATTTCCCAAACGAGATCATGACTTTGAAGCGATGGGTTGCTTTTAAGGAACTTAAGTCAAGTTACCATAATATGGGGAAATCGTAAAATGTAGGCTTTTCTTTTTGCAGTAGCTTAGTTTATGTTCCTTATCGGTAGCCCAGAAAGGCCCCCTGAAGAGTTACCCAAATGTGAAAAGCCCTAGGCTCCAAACCCCGCATCGGTCCCACATCCGTTCCACCAGGGATAAAGCCTCTTTTCATCTCAGTACATCCCTGGGGCCCTCAGCAGCCCCCATAAACCCTAAACCTTAAACTCAACCCCATCTTAGGCCTCAAAATGATCCCTACAAGGTTGTAAGTACCTTCCCTCCGCCTGTTCTCCAGTTCGACGGGCCCCTTCCGCACCGGAAGTGACGCCATCGTTTACAGAGGTGGGTCTCCGAACTGATGATGCAGGGATTTGGGGTTTTTCAAGCTGAGGGATGTTTTTTTCAGCGCTCTTAGGGTTCTATAGGGTTCTACGGGGGTTCTATAGGGATAGTGGGAAAGAAAATGGAAGCTACTTTTAGGGTTTAGGGTTTAGGGTAGTCATAATGAGAGTTCTAGTGTTTTGGATCTGTATTGGGGTCCCCTATTTATGGAAACTGCCAAGCCGGGGTGTTTTAAGCAGGGACCCCTTTCAGGGACTCAGGGACCGGTTCCTTCTCAGGATTCTACACGGCAGTATGTTTGGCATTGTTGTGCTACTTACCAAAGAAAAATGGTTGCTACTGCTATCTCTTGCTGATGTATTGAGCAATGTGGTAGTTTCACAAAATAACACAAACCCCAAACTACTATCATCCGTATTGTAAGGGACCCCCAAAAGGTACCCCTAATTTTAGGAGACCCTAAACCCAAAACCGTATGTAACCCCTATGTAACCCTACAATATCCCTATATATCCCCTATATCCCCTTTGAAGGTACCGCTGAAAAAATCCATGTATTGACCAATTGATTCTCTGAGTCGTGGCTCCCCAGCGGGTCTGCGGCCTCTCACCCTAAATGGGGTTTCTCCAAATTAGGAGTACCCTTTTGGGGCTCTACATTGAGGTCCCCCTATTTAGGGAAACTACCAAACTCCCAAGCCCTCAACCCCTTCCATGTGTTGCAGTCGGTCAATTTGAGGTCCTTTGCGCGGAAACGCAATACGCCTTGTCTCCTGGCATGGACAGAAATTTTGTCAATCATTGGCCCCTGTCTGGGAGAACTTTTCATACGAAGCCTCTAAGTCTGGATGGTACTGTATGGGGCCCTTGCTTTGAGACGTGGACAAGGTTACCGGCTGGCTATCTCCTGTCAAAATAGGGGTGCCCCCAATAAGTCCTTCAAATACATACGCAAATATGAGCTAGAGTCTAAATTTTTTTTCATGGGTTAAAGAGGGGATTTTCTGCGTAAGTATCATAGGGGTTACTAGGAGTTTAGACTCTAGCTCATATGAGATGTGGCCCGTCACAAACAGGGCCTTGCATCCTGACTTCCTGTCCATGCTAAGGCTGGGCGCCGACCCAGATGCATCAGAGATGGATCTCCGGCAATGCTTCCTGCGCAAAGCAGTGGAAGTGCATCCTGCAACCCTGAGGCTCGTCTCTGCATGCATGCGGGTAACCTGCAAAATAGGAGACCCCTAGTTAAGATGCTAGGTGCCGTACTGTGAAGATTACTTACATCAAAAAAGCGTCTTGAAGTTTTGTAGAAATCAAGCTCTGAATCAAGTTGTGGCTTTTTAGGTTAGCTAGGTATGAAGGATTGGATCCTTATTGTAGTCCCTATATAAGCCATTATAGCAGTTTGCGTGTTGTTTTCCATTATTCCTGTATAACCCCGATGTAACCCCTATATAACCCCTACAGAGTCCTATATATCCCCTGTATAACACATTATAGTGGTTTCCATTTTCTTTTCCATTCCTTCATGCCCAGCTAACCAAACGCATTGGGCCATGCTCACCTCGTGCGCATGCATAGCCGCAGGAGGCAAGGGCTCAGCGAGCTTCCACCGGACTTCGAGGCATTCTGCAAGGCACGCGCGGAGCGGCCTGAAAATCCTTATGGGGTTAACTCCTCGGAATAATGATTAAGGATTACATGCCTGTAATATCAGATATAACTTAACCGTCTAGAGTTACGTAAGGCCCCCCAAACGGACAATTCTGATGTTTTTCAAGAACAGGGATATGCATTGGGATCTAAAAAGATTGGCAGTATAACTGGGACTATGGGGGTTCCTTGGGGATTCTGCAGGGATGATTTTCAGAAGCTCCTTAATTTGTATTCAAATTCCGTGAGCCTTTAGGGTTTTAGGGTTTAGGATTGTTTCTAAATTCCATGCGGGTTGTTTCCTCTGAAAAAGGTGGCGGCTGCATGGACCGAACTCCGTGACCTGGGCTCCAGGTGGCGATACGACATGGCTACTTGCTCGGTCATGCTTGCTAGCTCCAACGGCAACCCTAAACCCTAAACTCCCAAACCTCTAAACCTTAAACCCTAAACCCTTCACGGAAATTTTGGGCAAATTGGAATTGGAAGGTCACGAAATGTGAGCGGGTCGATCCCTAAGATCATATTAAGCTGCCAAGCGTGGGGTTTGGGCTTCGGGGCTTAAGCCCCCAAACCTACGGTCTTGACGTGTGATCTTGATATTTTCCCAAGAAAAACTCTTTTCGCTTTCGAGGAGCCTCCCTAAGCTTGAAGAGTCTTGAGATTAGATTCTAACTTGTCATTCATTCTCCTTAGTCATGAAGTACACATTGATAACCCCAAACCGTAAGCCTCGCTTAAGTCCCTAACCATTACCCAGGCAGCATCCCTAAACCCGAATGTCTCACCCACGCCCCTAACACAATCAGCAGCCCTGATCCTCAGCCAAAACCCGAACCCGCAAAACCCCGGCCCCAACGGCTAAGCCTGGCCCCGAACCATACACGTTCAGGGGGCTCAAAAAAAGGTTGGATCGGTTTAGGGTTTAGGGTCCCTATTGTAGATTCTATTATATTGGGACTTATTTCCTTTACCCCACCTACCTTCATCTCACCTTTTGAGCCCTTAAACCCTAGGCCCGTTTGACAGCATAAGTCAAGCCCCCAACCCCAACCAATCATCTTTGGTCCTCAAAGAACTATCAATAAAGGCATGAACACTTGAGCTGCGGACTGGGGGGGACCTACGGGGGGACTATAT